GCCACATCCATCATCCCAGATAAATCCACATTCCTTACCACTTGTTTATGTGGAGGGCTAAAAGGTTCTGCCATGGAGTCCTGTGACAGTACTCTCCCTAGATGAGCAGAGGACAGCTTACCCCAATAACCTCTATTTGTGTGATCTTTTGAACCCATAAACAGGTAAAGAATTTGACAATCTTAGAAAATGTTGACTGTGCAAAAATTAAAATTAATTTACCAGCAAATATTCCACCCCAGCTGTGCTCCTACCCTTCCACAGTTTTGTTTGTTTGTTTGTTTTGGTACCAGGGATAGAACTCAGGTCCTTGCACTTGTGAGGCAGGCAGTAGAACCACTGAGCTAAATCCCCAGCCCAGAGTTCTTGATCGGCCTCCACCCTGTCATTCCTCACTACTCTATCAACCCACAACTCACCAAAACTAAGTCCCGTAATTTCATCTTTCTTCCACTTTCTCACCCAAATGGTTAACTTGGCTTCTATACCACTCCATTCAAATTATTCCTTTCAAATGGTTGAACTCTTTTAAATTTTTTTTTTTTTTTTTTTTTTTTTTTTGATACCGAGGCAGGCCACCGAACCGCTGGACTAAATCCCCAGCCGAACTGTTTTAAATTTAAAAGTCATTTTATATAAATTTTGTATATTTTTCCCCTCTATTCTACAGTGTCAAGTATTATTGTCAAGTATTAAGAGGAAGTGGTCTGACAATTTAATGGAGACGCCTTAATCCTCAGGACTTTGGTTCATGATACCTCACCAACATTTTTAGACAGGTGGCCAGGGAGAGCTCTCTGGTGTACTCCCGAGTTATCCTATACTCAATCTGCCTGAGAGTTTATCTCTGTCCATTTCTCATCCACATACCACTCCAAAAACCAGCAAACCCTCCTTCAAAGAATGCTGCGTGTTTCCTCCTCTAGATTATTGTCTTTCTAAATCAGATGTTTCCTAAGCAAAGGGAGGCAGGTGATCTCTGAGGGTAGAGAAAAGAATTACTAAAATTTCTAATCATATTTGTCTCATTCTTTATTTCTATTTTTGTATATCCTATGAAGCAAACACCTCATTATTAAGCAAGCATATGATTATAATTTATAGATGCACAAATGTTGCAGGTGTGAGCAAAAAGTATTTACTGTAGAATTGTTTAACATCCTACCAAAATAAAATAAAATTTTAAAATGTTGGAAGACTATTGGGCTAGCCTGTCTTGGTGACATGTACCTGTAGTCCCAGCTATTTAGAAGGCTGGGGCAGTCCAGTTCAGGTCCAACCTGGCTGACAAACATAGCAAGACCCCGTCTCAGAATGAAAAACAAAAACATGGGCCGGGGAATTAGCTCAGTGGTGCCACCACCACCTGCCTCACAAACACAAGGTCCCAGGTTGGATTCCAGGTACCAAAAAGAAAGCTGAATAAACAATCTAGGCTACATAGTGAGTTCAAGGCAAACCTGGCTCCCCCCACCCCAACCCAACCCACCCCAAAAAAAAGACTACTGAGCTAAACAGTAACTTCTTTCTAATACAGAGTCCACCAAAAAACCATATGCACACTTCAGGAAAAGATAGTATGATGTTTTTTCAACAGATGGTGTTATCTATCCTCCTTTGGGGGATATCACAGAAAACTCACAACACTGCTGGCCCTTAGAGGAGAAATTGAAAATGCATGTGCAGCAATCTCAATGACCAAGGTTACCCAAGCAGAAGTTCACTGTATAAATAAATGTCTGGAAACTAATGGCCACCACTTTCAGCACCTCTCATAACTGTGGAGGCCAAAGATGACTTGTATTAATCTCATGATGGCTCAATAAATTTAGTATTAAGATATTTACACAATTTTTTCTTTTCCTGAAGTGTGTATACATTTTTTTTTTAGAGGACTCTAGATTTCCTTGGTACTCTATGAGCAATTCCAACTAAAATGTTGTACTCTACTTGTCTGGACGAGAAAGATATTCTGTATTTCAGATCTATTCTGTATTTCCCCCATCCACATTTCTTACTAGTGCATATTAGCTATATAAATTGATGCGTTTCATTTTGGTAGATTTGCACATGTACATAAAAAAATTTTCAGGTAATGCTTACATAGTAATGTTCTTATTCCTAAAACCAGATCTCACCCTTGGCTTTCCTACTATATATTAAATATATTTTTAAATTCAGGTCTTCTCTTTCTTAAAAGAAAATGCCATAGTTAAAAGAAACATTTTTGTCTTTACTTCAAAATTAAACACTCAAATATACTTTAAAAAATACGTAACACTCAAGAGTAATTTTCAAATACAGCACAAAGTACAGGCACTGTTCTAGGACTCATTTACTCCTTATTATGATTATGAAATATAAAACTATATTACTAATAAAAATTAATTATAAGAATTAGTACTTCTTACTAGATACATTTTCACTTTTGTGTAACTCAAGACTCCTCTAAAACTGTGGTCAAGCCGGGCATGGTGGCGCACACCTGTAATCCCAGCCCTCGGGAGGCTGAGGCAGTAGGATCGCTGTGAGTTCGAGATCAGCCTGGGCTACATAATGAGTTCTAAGTCATTCTCAACTACATAGTGAGAACCTGTCTCAAAAAAAACAAAAAACAAAACAAAACAAAAAACTTGTGGTCAATACTATTTTCAATGAAGAGATATTGAAGGCAAACTACCATTCTATTGAATTTTACTTTCATCATCTATAGATTCTCAAGGAATTTAATTATTACTATGTATGGCTTTGGACAGTCAGTGCTACCTCTCAGTGCCTTAGAATCCTTATCCACAGTAAATTCATTCATTGGCACACCCACAACAGTAGGCACTGTGCTTGGCTGAGGGACACAGTGAAGACAAATCCTGTTTCCAAGCAGCCGATTAGATAATTCCAGAAAAGTACAGAAGATAACCATCATTACAATGTTAGCCATTGTTATTTCCCAAAATGAAGGGCAAACTTATTTATCATTGCCTTGGTCCTATTTTAAAAGCAAATTCCTCCTAGTCCCTCATAAACTCTTAGTTGTTGAGAAAGGACAAGAAAGATACAGCTATACAATCAATGAGAACATGGCAGCAATGAGCACGCGCACACCCTCTACCTTTCATTGTTGTAAAGCTCTGTGGAACCTGCCAAACACTGAGCAAAAATAGCACAGCCAGGTACCAGGTTCTGAAAACGACTTTTGATGGATACCCACACGCTGTGGATCCTCCCAGCACCCTTCAGTGATGCTGATGGAGGTCTAGTTATACCTGGAGGTTACAGCTGACGTGTGCTGCGGAGTATCTGCTGCAAAATTCAACTGCAGTGCAACTTAATCCCAGTGACGCTGTTCCTGGGTTGCCCTTACAGGACCTGCCATGCGACGTCCTTTTATTTATTTAAAATTATTATATAATCACAGAGCACGCTCTCCACTGTCACAAAAAAATCACTGTTCAGCCTGCCTCTCTGCCCAGAATTTAAAGTCACCAGAAGGATAATCAAAGAATCCTGATGAATCCAAACTAAACACATGAAATAAAATGATAACAGGAACTCTCAAGAGAGCACTTCCCTTATAAACAGCTTAGATCATCTCGCAGACACCTCACTAAATCTAAATATCTGAGACAGGCCTGCAGTGGCGTGGGGCGGGGGGTGTCACAAAAACTACTGGTCATCACTGAAGGCTTGATATGCCTTAAGAAGTTTCCATTAAAACCTCAAACATCTTTCTGAGAAACCAAATATGATCCATTTCCTAATATATGTATTTCATACCATTTTACTAAAAAGAAAGAAAATCCGTGGCCAAATGACTGCCGTTTGCTGATCACTTACAAAGCCAGATAGCTGGCCATGATTTGACCTTACCCGTGGTATCTGCATTGTCAGCATCACAAAATATTCAGGCCTCTTCCTCCTCTTTCCTGATTTTACCCATGTGCCTCGATTCAGTGCTGACTTCAGACCCAATGGGCATGTGGCTCCCCTCCGGCAGGTCAGGTGGACAAGAAGAGGAAGAGGAAGACAAACAAAGGAGGAACAGGCCAAGACGCTCCACACTGTCCATACCTTCAGCCCTTCCAATTGCAGGCCTTTCTCTGAGAAGAATCTTCTGCCAACAAGATGTCCACAGACAGCAAAAGACTCCCCAGCTCTGAGCCCTCATACTTCTCCAACCCCCTGCTGGACTTCCCACCAGTTCTATCACAGAACATACTCAGCCTGAACACAGGACAGCCCCTTCCACTGGACTTCGGACCCCTGGGGTCCCACTGCTGCCCATCCTCTCACAGCCCTCAGCATTTCCCCACATCAGTCCTTCCTTGTCCACAACTCCCAATCTCCGTGCCTTCCCCCAGCCTCTGGAGGCTTCTTTCTGTTGTTCAGTTCTCTAGGGTTTACAGGCAGGCGTGTGAGGGACAAAATCTGGTAGTGCCTAGCCTCCACCATTTCCAAATGTACGGCCGTGGGCAAGTTGCCTAATCTCCTTAAACCTGAGAATCCCTGTCTGTACAGTGGGGTTTACCTCATCTCTGAAAGTAAGGATTAAATGAAAACACACGGAAAGCACTTAGCAAAAACCGTGCCCAATTTGTACCAGGAAAAGGTTTTGCAAATAGTAGTGATTATCATTCCCTCCTTCTACTACCTCTTTTTTTGTGTGTGTGGTAAAAGAGACAAAAAAATTCACAACTTTAACCATTTTTAAGTAGACATTTCCATGATGCAAAGCACATTCATATTGTTCTGCAATCATCACCACCATCAAGCTACAGAACTTTTTCATCTCCTCCCACTGATGCTCTGGAATGATTAAGCACTAACTCCTCTTCAGCTCATGATCATCTCACCACCCTGAGGCACTGCCTTAAGTCAGTAGAGAACCGTACAGTTCTGCAGCCTAGTTGTCTTCTAACCACAGGTGAAAACTCCTCCTCCTCTGGGGCTCTCACTACTCACAATCATACCACCTTCTGCCCCACTTCTTAGCTGACACCTACCTATTTTCTGGTAGATTCTCATTCACTGGAAAAGGTGGGGTGAGCCCTTAGATCACAATTTTCTGGACTTTGTCCTGAGAGAGCTTACCCAACAGTCAGCTCCTGAAAGAACAAGAACACAGGGAGAAACCTAGATTAGAGCCCAGCTCCATGTTCACTGTGTGACCTGGAGCAATTTCTTCCAGACTCTGGGCCTTGGTTACCTCACCTATCAATGAGAATAATGACAGTACTGCTCTCGGGGCTGTTGACAGCTCAAAGCACTTCAAGCACAACTAGCCTAAGGTCAACAAGTGATGCCAATGTTCTGCTAGTGCACTTGCTCCATCCAATCTGTGGTCCTGAGTCTAGCCTGTCATTCCCAGGGCCATACATCACAGGGGTTTTGGTGCTCATGGTGATGGCCACAACTCCTGCCCTCATACCCCTTCTCTCCCAGGTCCTCACTTTTTGGTGGCCTTTGAAGTGTCCTCCTTTTTCATTCCCTGACCTCACAAACTATGGCAGTCATCAGACTTGCCCCTCTGCCAGCACCCCTAATAAGCTACAGCCTTCTTCTTTGGCCACATCAGGGGACTCAGCACCAGGATTCAGGACTCAGCTCTTTCTCATCTAAACTTCAGGCCCAAAGGCCATACACAGAAGTCGGGTCACCACACAGCAAGATGCCACTGCATTAGAATTCTCAGACCCAGAAAGGTCCTCAGTATCCTAAATAAAAGGCTCTTCCCATACCCCTCAATATCTGTTGCAACTTTCATCATTCACCTCAATCCTGCTTTAGCACTCTCTCTCCCGATTTCACCCAGAAAACCAGACCAAGGTTTGATACGCTGACATCCCAACTTCCTATTCCCATTCCTCCACCTGCAAACTTACCCACAGGTATCTTCTCTGGCTTCTTCTTTTCACTGTGATGCCAAACTGACCCCTTTTATGGGGTCATAAAACCTTGTCCCCTTCTCCTTGGCCCCTTTTATGGCTGTCTGCTGCACTCCACACTCCATCCACAGTACCCAACATCACACTGTTTATACACATGTGCCTGGGTCCTCAGTGCCTCCCTGTGCCTAAACTCCAACTCAACTGGTCCTCATAGAGATACAGCTCAAAAATCACCTCCTCCAGGACTGGGGATTTAGCCCAGTGGTTCCACCATCTGCCTCGCAAACACAAGGTCCCAAGTTCAATCCCCAGTATCAAAACACCAAAAACAAAAAAAAAACAAAAAACAAAAGAACAACCCTCTTCCAGAAGCCTTCCCTCACTTTACAACCTGAGTCACCAATCCTCTGTACCCTTATGTAAACATCCCTCTGAGTGTCTCCTGCCCCAAGAACAGAAGCTGTATCATCCTCTCAGTGCTTGCCACATATGTATGTCAGTAACTGCTAAATAAACAAACTGCTAAGTACTTTTGCTTTCTGCTCTGAAAATGTTTTATTAAGATGTTTTATTAAAAGCATTGATTAAGATTCCTTACCCATCACTTATGATGCTGTACATTTTCTTCCTCTGATCTAGACTGAGAAACAGTCCTTCCCCCTGCCCTGGCCTCCTCAAAACAAATATTCCTTTGATGAAAGAAAAAACCAGAAACAAAAACAGTATTTCCTCAACAAAAACAGAAAACCCAAAATAGCAAGACAGTTTATTAAAAAAGCATCCAGCTAACAGTGGCTTAGGTAGGGATTATAAATGCAGTTGTGGACCATAAGAAGAGAAAGGGAAGTTTACTTTGGATGGCTATTTGAGGGAGGCAACAATATTCACATGCTAAACAAGAAAGCTGACCAAAATAATAAAGCTTGGATCTATTTATAAGGCAAAAGAGGAAGAGGAAATGGGTAACTCCGGTGGAAATTTCCTTCCTTTGTCTAGCTTTACTTCTGGTATGGCTACTACACTAACATCTCAATACTAACTTATGACAATTCATAGGAAATGATTTTGAAGGGCCCCAGGGAGCTGCAGATGGTACTTCAGGGGCCCATCTGTTAAAGGACGAAAGCTTAGTGAACACTATTACATCACTCTGACCTTCCTCAGCAACTTCCTATCTGACAAAACAGAGATGGTTGCTCAGTCCAACACAATATTTGTGTTTTTCCCTAGCCTCAGGCATAGGTTCCTGATTAGTTTTAAAATCATTATGCACTCAAACTGAATGAGGGCACTGTTAGCAGCTGGAAGGTCCTCCTCTGGGCAAAGCACCAGCTCTGTGGCCTTCAGGGAGGGACCACTGTCCTTTCTGCATAGCTGCACACTCTCCTGATGGATGGATGCACTGACCCTCTATACTCTATCCCCTCAGGCGACCCCCGCAGAGGGAAGAATGGTGCGCTCATGTATGCCACTCCCCCCAGATAAACATTCACAGATTACACATCCCAGCTTCAGCAGCTCCATACTGTCCCGGAGCAGACTCCCCCTAACCAATGGCAACCCTTAAACCGCCCACAGAAGAACAGGTGTTATTTCCCAGATACTCACAGACCCCATGACGCCCAGCTCCCACATGCAGAGATCCACATCAGCCAAGCATGCGCACATGGCCATTCACACCTGTGATTAATTTGGTTATTGAGGGGTACTGGGGATCAAACTCCAGGACCTTGCACTTATGAGGCAGGTGGCAACACCACTGAGCTAAACCCCCAGCCACACCATGATTACCTTGGAACGTAGCTACATAACCTACACTCTGTCTTTCTCTCTCCTTGACACTCAACAGGACACCAGCAGACTTGGTATTCACTATGAAGTGCCCTGTAGGTGCTGCACAGTAACAGTGCAAAGAAGGTAGAAACTACTTTTTTTGGTACCGAGCATGGAACTCAGGGCCTTGCACTTGCGAGGCAGGCAGTGGCATCTAAATCCCCAGCCCAAAACTACTTTTTAAATACATTTTGTTGGGTCAGGGGCTTAGCTTGGTGATTCTGCTGCCTGCCTCACAAGTGCAAGGTCCCAAGTTCAATCCCCATTACAAAAAAAATAAATAAATAAAATAAATAAATACATTTGTTTTGGTTTCTTTGGAGGAGGGGGATCCATGTGTACTGATGTTTGCAACATACTTCTAAATACTTTTTAAAATAAGATGGACTGATAGGTAGATATGTAATAAAACAAAGATGGCAAAATCTTAATTGTAGAATCTAGACAGTGCGTGTATATATGTGTTCACTGTTCTTTTCTTTCAAGTTCTCTTTATGATTCAATGTTTTCACAATAAAACATAAGGGGAGGAATTTAGCACCTTTAAAAAAATTAGCCAGGCATGGTGGCATAAGCCTGGAATCCCAGCACTTGAGTGGCTGAGACAGGAAGATGACTCTAGTATAAGGCCAGCCCAAAATTCATAGCAAGACCTTGTCTCCCCGCCCCCCCAAAAAAGTAGCTGAACTCTACACTTAACTTAATGTCAGTAGACTTACACTAATGTCCCTCTTCTATTTCAGGACCACAGCCAATATCACTTTGTAATTACTTATACATCTCCTTGGTTTCCTCTGGTTGTTAAGAGTTTCTTAGTCTTTCCTTGCTTTTCACTACCTTAAAAGTTCTGAAGAACACTGGGCCAGTATTTTGTAGACTGCTCCTAAACGGAGACTTATTTGATGTTTTTCTAATGATTACACTGGGGTTGTGAGTTTGGAGGGAGACCACAGAGGTAAAGTTTCCTCATTATCATATCATGGCTACATGCTGTCACCATGAGGTACTGCTTGTCAGGTTGACTTCGATTGCTTGATTAAGATGGGCTTTGTCAAGTTTCTCTCTTTCCATAAAGTATCCTTTAGAAATGAGTCATTAAATTCAATCCACATTCAAGGAAAAGGGTAAAGCCTGGCTCCTGAAGGCAAAACTTTTCCACACAAATTATTTGAAATTCATTTGTAAAGAACATGTCTCTTATTCATTATAGTGCAAAATAAACTAAAGAGTTTGGATTATAATGCAGCACATTATTTGTTGCTCAAATTAAACCAGCTTTGGCCATTAAGAGCTCCTTGATGTTGGCTCCTATGTCCTTTTGACATTCCCACATTCTTTGTGTTTTTAGCATTTCCTTCTTATCGGCAATGCAAGATACTCCAGACATGTTGTTATCATTTCTCCACAGAGTCCTGATGATTGTTACTGAAGAATGGTATTCTGTGCTTGTTACCCTCCCTTCTCAGTGGACAGATGGAGGAAATACCTGTGTGCATACCAACGTAGTGTGCACTTATAAAATTACTTCTGCATCAATACTAAACTAAACCTATGTTTGCACTGACATCTCTCATTCTAATTCCCATAACACATGGTTCATTCTATCCTTCTTCCCTTGCTTACATGTAACTTCTCTGCTTCACCCCAGTATACTGTAAAGCAGTTTTAGAGCTGCTAATCCATGACCTCTGATAAATTTTACCAACTAGAGTACAGTGTGTCCATACAGCTTCATTTTGGGGGTGGGGGGGTACTGGGGATTGAACTCAGGACCTTGTGCTTGCCAGGCAGGCAGCAGAACCACTGAGCTAAATCCCCAGCCCTGGACAGCTTCTTTTGTCTTCAGACTTACAGTCAAAACACCATTTTCCACAGTTAAGTAGGTCCGTGCTTTATGCCCACTCTCTTCAGTGGCAATGTCATAAAGTGTAGGTAGATTTTTTTCCCCACATCTCACTCACTACCCACATGCCTCCACACACATGCACAGGCACAGCTACTGATGAATATCTTTTTCATCTAAATACATTACAATTCTTTAGTGCCTAATTTATTTAAGTTATTTGTTTAAAGATTCCCACCACTTGCTATTATGTACATGGTCTACTTTATCCCTAAGACTATAATACTTACATCTGAGCATACCTCATGACACTTAGCTCAGTTCTGTACCACTTTGAGTGCTTAGATGATAATAAGATAAACAGATTCAACAAATTAATTTTTAAACTAAAATGTTAATTTAACATGGTTTAATTTCTGGAAGTCATTCAAGCTCAAAGGACAATGTTCACTGCAGTGTTATTTACAATTTAGAACAGTCAAAAAATTAATTATACCTAATAGGTTGAAAAATGAATTATATACAATAATTAGAAATCATT